AAAAAAAGAAAAGAAAAAGAGAAAGAAGAAGAAACCTGACCAGTTAATATTGTCCAGCACTAATTGTGTTCCAGTCTTCTACATGTGTTACTTCGCCACCAAAAGAAAAAAAAAAAAAAAAAATGAAATACATTTCTAGTCCATCTGACATATTTTCAAGTGTGGCATGACAATAGAAATGTTGCCTGTTGTGGTGGCTCACACCCGTTATCCCAGCACTCGGAGACTGAGTGAGGCAGGAGTATTGTTGCACATTCGAGACCAGCCTGGGTTACAAAGTGAGCTCCAGGCCAGCCTGAATTGCATAGCAAGACCCTGTCTCAAAAAGACAAAAAAAAAAAAAAAAAAGAAGAACAAAAAAGAAAATGGAAATGTTTCTCCAAATAGCCAATATTATGTCACCCTTTTCCAATAATTTAAAATGCCCTTTTTTTTTTTTCCCCAGAACCAGGGATTGAACTCAGACCCTTGCACTTGCAAGGCAAGTGCTTATTGTACTGAGCCATCTCTCCGACCCTGAAATGCCATTTTTTACTATACAGTAGTAACTGTCACCTCCATTATATATTTGGGCTGATTCTAATCTGTATTATTTGTGTTTTACTATTTTGGTATTTGTTTGTTTTGAGTCACAGCATCTTGCTAAGTGGTCCAGGCCAGCTTTGAACTCACTATGTGGCCCAGTCTGGCCACGATATCCGTGCCTCAGCCTGCTGTGCTCCACCATATCTTGCTATTTTTTTACTATATCTGTACTATTGCTTTAGTTACTAGAACTTTGTAACGTACTCTTTGTTGTGTGTGTCTTTTTGAGATGGGGACTTGCTCTGCAGCTCAGGCTGGCCTTGAGCTCACTTTGTAGCGCAGATTGGCCCTGAACTCATGATCCTCCTGCCTCAGCCTCAAGTGCAGGGATTACAGGCCACCACTCCCAGCCTTGTAACATACTCTTAAATATGTAAAAATACCAACTGCTATAGAGTAATGTACCTCAAAGTAAAAAGATAAACTAGGAAAGATATTTGCAATGCACCCAGGTCTTACAAATGAAGAAGAAAAGCCAGGAGTGGTGGCACATGTCTGTAACTGTAGCATTTAGTAGGTGGAGGCAGGATTGCCATGAATTTGAGCCCAGGCTAGACTGCATAGTGAGCTCAAAACCAGCCTGACTACATAGAGAGACCCTGTCTCAAAAACTAAGAAGGGCCAGGGAGATAACTCAGTAAAATAAGTAAGTGCAAGAGTCTGAGTAAAAAAAAAGACAAACCAGGGCTGAGGAGGTAGCTCAGGGGTCTAAGTGTCTGCCTTGTAAGCACAAGGACCCTGGTTTGATTCTCAGTACTGCATATCGTGCTAGCCCCATGCCAAGCCAGCTACCGAAACCAGGTGTGGTGGCGCACACCTGTAATCCCAGAGGTAGGGAGGCAGAGACAGGAGGATCACTATGAGTCTGAGCTGCCTAGTGAGACCCTGTACCAAATAAATAAAAAAAGGTTTAAAAAAAGAGGAAAGACAAACCATCAAGAAATAAAAAAGTAGGGCTGGCCAGATAGCTCAGCAGATGAAAGCACCTATTTAGACAGACACAGGCACTGGGTTTCGAATCCTGGATTGCCGTAGTGCCCCCTCCCCAGCCCTGAGATGGTGATTGAGACTGGGCGTAGTGGCCAGCGCCTGTAATCCCAGTGCTTGGGAGGCTGAAAACAGGACGATCACTCTGAGTTTTATCTGTGTAGTGAGACCCTGTACTAAATACATTTTTAAAAAATTAAATAAATAATAGATAAATAAAAAATACCATGCTGGGTATGTTGTCTCATGCCTGTGATCCCAGCACCCGGGAGGCTGAGGCAAGAGGATCACTGAATTTGAGGCCAGCCTGAGCTACATAGTGAAGAGACCCTATCTTCAAAAAAAGAATTTTATAGAACCGGGAATTGAACTCAGGTCCCTGCATTTGTCAGGCAAGCACTTATTCTACTGAGCCATCTCCCTGGGCCCCCCCCAAAAAAAAGAAATTTAAAAAATAAAAAATAAAAACGAGGAACAAGAAATACTGACAGAACTACTATTATCCTGTCTATACATTTGCGGAAAGTAGGGAAGGAGGCATTGCGCTGGCAAATGCACACTGTTTCTCTTACCTCTTCCTCTTTGATGGCCATGTGCTCCTTTCCTTTTGCTCTGGGCCTAGAACTCCTGGCTTCATTCCACTTCCTGGGCTACTGTTGGCTTCAGGGCAAAGGAGGGAAAACAGAGGATGTGGGGCAGGTGCTGCTGCTGTCCCCTACAGGAAGATAGATCTTTGCTGAAGAGCTGGGAAAAACTAACACTGAAGGAAAAGTACAATCTTGGCCCATGAGATAGCTCAGCCGACTGAGCGCCTGCTTAGGCAAGCACAGGAACTGGGGTTCAATCCCTGGCACCATACGACCTGGTGTGGTGGTGCATGGCTGTAATCCCAGCGCTAGGGAGGCTGCAACAGGAGTCTCCCTACGAGTCCAACCGTAGTGAGACCCTGTACCAAATCCATTAAAAAGAAGTAAAATCTTTATCAGAGATTCCTCTGATAGGTGCTTTTCCCCTCACCCTTAGTTTCTGATCCTGTGCTCTAATCTTTTTCTCTTTTTGGCAGAACCAGGGATTGAAACTCAGGCCCTTGCACTTGCCAGGCAAGCACTTAACTCTACTGAGCTATCTCCCCGGCCCCTGTGCTCTAATCCTGAGACCCTGTGTCTCTCCATTCTGAGAACATTCCCATCAATCAACCGGCTCCCTTTGCAGAGCTCCCCACTTGAGCAGAACCCTACCCTGCCTGTGTGGCACACTGGTCTCACCCCAGGATCTGTACCTCAGCACACATTCTCTCCAGAGGCACGTTGCTCAGGTCAGGCCAGTCCACAGTGGGTACTCTGGAGACAGCAAACTAGCTCAGCAGTCTAAAGTGCCTGCTTAGGCAAGCATGCAGGGTCCATGGTTGGATCCCCAGCACCACATGCCACAGTGGGTGCTCAGAAGCCTTTCTCAGGACAGTGGAGAGTTGAGGAGGGCTCTAGGGTTATGTGTAAGTGGCCTAACTGGGGTGCATATGTGCCCGAATTCACATCAGCATTCAGCTGGTCACTTTTTCCTCCAAAAACAGATACTACTTTTGAGATTGTAGCAGCCAAATGTAAGAGAGAGGAAAACATTTACCTATAAGATATTATTATAGGGCTGGGGAGGTAGCTTGGTGTTCTAAGCACCTACCTGGCAAGTGCAAGGACCCAGATTCAATCCCCAGTAGCACATGCCATGCTGGCCCCCAAAACCAGGCATGGTGGTGTACCAGGAGGGTGAGAAGCACTGGGGAGTCTGAACTGTGTAGCGAGACAGACAGTGTGTCAAATAAATAAATGAAAAATATTTTTTAAAAAAAGATATTATTATGCAGAGTAAGCCCAGTAGAACTCTTAAGTCATTTCCTAGATGAGGCCCCCCCACCCCACTCCCATCAGGGCAGCTTTAGTTTTTCCGGTTATAATCATTTGGACTGCACTATGAGTGTTTTAATTTTTTTATGTATTTAGTACAAAGTCTACAACAGGATCTCACTCCATAGATCAGACTCATAGTAATCCTCCTGTTTTTAGCCTCCCAAACTCAAGGATTACAGGTTTGCGCCACCATGTCCAGTCTCAATCGCTGTCTCAGCATGCTCCTGTGGCAGGGCCGGCACAGCACACCAGGGATTGAGCCCCAGCCAGCCACTGTGCTCTGCCTAAACAGGTACTTTAGTCCACTGAGGAATCTGGCTGGCCCTTGCACTGAGTGGTATGGTATGGTATGGTATTTTTTGGCTGGCTTAGCCCTCCCTGAGGGTGGGGCTGGTGTGGCATTTGGTGCTGGGGATCGAACTGTGGTCCCCTGTGCCTGCCAAAGCAGGTGCTTTAGACCACTGAGCTATCTCACCAACCCCTGCACTGAGTTTTAAAACATACTTTATTGCCCAGGGGCCAGGGTGTGATCTGTGGCACCACATGTCACGCCTCCCTCCTCCCCCCAGGCACACTGAGCCTGCGATGGATTCTAGGCCTGGTGACACACACCTGTAATTCCAGGACTAGGGAGGCTAAAAACAGGAGAATCACTAGGAGTCTGAGCTGCACACACAAAAAAATCAATCAATCAATCAGTCAGTCATACTTTATTTAACTTATTGCTAGTGTTGTCCTAATTTTTGAGTTAATGAATCAAGGCTTAGAAGATACTTCATATTTGATGATAAATCAAAGAATGTTGCTCAAGAAACGCTGAGATTATTTTCAGATTTTTAAATGCACGTTTAAAAATACTTGGATGTGACTCTTTAATTTCGTCCAGGGCTCTCACCTTTGTCTACCCTTTTGGTGCCACATTGAGTGTCATGAAACCGGCAGTGGCTGTTCTGTCCACAGGCTCCGTCTGCTTCCCGCTTAACAGACCTATCCTGGCTTTCTATCACTCGAAGGTACAGAATTCCTACGATATGGGTGTGTATGTTATCTTTATTATTGAAATAATAAGAACGGCCTTATAATGTAGTATGTAAAGAGTTTCATATATTTCCTTACTGGTCTGTGAAATAGATTTCAGGTGTTTACTTTTGATTCATGGGGAAATAGTTCAGAAATGCATCTTGTCAAATTCTGAACCTCATTGTTGTCTTTCAAAATCCAAAGCTTTCCCACTGTAGCATGAGGCTGGCTGCTTTGTAGCTCTAACATAACGTTTCATCCTGTCTGTGCCTCTGTACTTTCGTTCAGGAAGCCAGAGTTAACTGCAGAATTACCCAGCATCATGCTGCTATTTTAGTTATCCCAGGAGAACTTACCAGAAGACTTGTCCAGTTCTTATCCCGGGACCCCTCCAGAAATGTGCGAGCAAGTGGCCCAGAGATGTCATTATGAGGCTGCTGTTCTACTGTCTTTGGATTTACATTTTGCTGAATTTGCATCACCTGTCCATCAGGTGTAGCGTTCATCCATTGACCTTCTGGGTTTGCCCCAGGACATCTTGTCCGTGACATTACTATTTTCTTTATGGGATATAGGTATTACCTTGGCTCCTTATTTAAAAGCTCTGATCTCATTTTTTTGTTTTAGAAAGTATATAAATATCTATGATGTATCTGAAAGAGTTAAAACAAAATTCAGGGGTCCAGGGAGATAGCTCAGTAGAATAAGTACTTGCCTTGCAAGCACAGGGTCCTGAGTTCAATCCCTGGTCCCACAAAAAAAAAAAAAAAAAAAAAATCATTTAATTCTCATGATATTGTGGTAGTTGATATCTTCCAATAGCATCGTGTTAAAATTATACTAATGTGTTATTTCCAAGATGTAGAAATAAGTAATTTATATAAACTACATTTATAAACCTAATTGTGAGACACTATTTTAAGAGTCCTGAGGTGGTTAAATAGTACATACAGTATGATAATTTGATTTCTTCTTTGTCTTTTTCTTCTTTTTTTTTCTTTTCTTGCAGTACTAGGGATTGAACTCAGGACCTTGTGCTTGCCAGGCAGGTGCTTATGCTGCTGAGCTATCTCCCTGACCCTATATTTTCTTAAGCATACACATAGATTTTATCTGGCTTAACAAAATAGATCTTGGCTGACCAGATAGCTCAGTGGATTAAAGCGCTTGCTTAGGCAGATGCAGGGACTGTTGTTCAAGTCCCCTCGAGCTGTGCCTGCCCTGCCTCTGGGCACGCTGAGAAGGCAATTGAGACTGGGCGTGGTGGTGCACGCCTGTAATCCCAGCTCTTGGAAGGCTGTAAACAGGCATATCACTATGAGTCCAATCTAGTAGTGGGGCCTTGACCATCCTGCAGACCCTTCCCTAAAAATACAAAAATAAATAAATAAATAAATAAAAAATTTAAAAATAGATCTTTAGGGAACATCAGTAAATTTTTTGCTAAATATGGTAACTTTCCTGGAGCTCATCATGTCCCTGCTGCCTGGCCATGTTAACACACCAAGCTCATTAGTGCTGCTTATAAACAGCTTGCTCCCTCTCCCTCTCCCTCTCCCCCTCCCCCTCCCTCTCCTCTTCCCTCTCCTCCCCTTCTCTCTCCCCCTCCCTCTCCCCCTCCCTTTCTCTCCCTCTCTTCCTCTCCCTCTTGTGGGAGTGTTTTGAGACAAGGTCTTTTCCATGTTACGCAGTTCAGGTTGGCCTTGAATTTACCATGTAGCCTGGGCTGGCCTCAAACTCTGGCAGCCCTCCTGCCTCAGCCTCCTTAAACTGGGACTGGGATTACAGGTGTGTGCTGTTATACCTGGTTACCTTTCTTTGTTTTCTGGTACTGGGATTGAACCAAGGGCCTTAACATTGAGCTATAACTTCAGCCCTTTAAATTTTTTTTTTTTTTTTTAATTTTGAGACAGTCTCACTATGTTGCCAAGTTGCCCAATTTGGACTCCACAATTTGTGATGCTCCTGACTCACCCTGCCAGAAAGCTGGGATTACTGGTGTGCACCAACACACCTGGATCTTTTTTGTTGTTGTTCTGGGTATTGAACTCAAGGCAGAAAATACACAACTATACTCAGTGGAAATATCTTCTAGAGTAAGGTGAAACAAAGATTTTTAAGACAAAAGTTTTTAAAAAGAAGATTCTTTAAGTAAACTTGAGGATAGGTATGGTCCTGAGGTATGGTATGGTGTGTGATTTATATGGTGACACACACCTGTAATCCCAGCACTATGAGAGGCTAAGTCAGGAGGATCACAAGTTTGAGCTCACCTTGGCAATTTAGGGATTTAGACCTGTCTCAGAATAAAAAGTCAGCTGACATGGTGGCAAAGCAGAGGATTGCTTCAAGTTCAAGGCCAGCCTGGACCACAAAATGAATTCAAGACCAGCTGGGGGCGCCAGGGAGCTAGGGGCCCGGGAGGTGGCTCAGTGCGATAAGCGCTTCCCTGGCAAGTGCAAGGGCCTGAGTTCAACCCCTGGTACCAAGAAGAAAAAGACCAGTTTGTGCCGGCCCTGCCCCCATGCACCCTGAGCCGTGAAGACAGGGTGTGGTGGCAGGGCATGGTGGTGCATGCCTGTAATCCCAGCGCTGGGGAGGCTGAAAACAGAAGGATCACTACAAGTCTGAGCTGCATAGCGAAACTGTACCAAATGCATAAATATAAATAAATAATAAAATGAAAGACAATTTAAAGTTTAGATGTGATCATAGGAAGTATTTCTAGATTATTAAAATCCTGGTGTAGGGGGCTGGCAAGATAGCTCAGTGGTCTAAAGCACCTGCTTAGGCAAGCTTAGGCAGCACAGGGACCACGGTTCCATCCCTGGCACCACATGCCATGCCAGCCCCATCCCCAGGGTAGGCTGAGCCAGCCACAAAAAATTAATTAATTAATTTAAAAATCATGGTGTAGGTTGGGCTGGTGAGATGGCTCAGTGGTCTAAAGCACCCTCTTAGAACAAGCTAAGCTAAGCAAAGCACAGGGACCGCGGTTCAATCCCCCAGCACCACATGCCAGCCCGCCCGTCCCCTGGTGGGCTGAGCTGGCCACACACACAAAATAAATGAATGAATGAATAAATAAATCAATCAATCTTTAAAAAAAAAAAAAAATCATGGTGTAGGGGCCAGGGAGATGGCTCAGTGGAATAAGCGTGTTCAATCCCCGGTTCTGCCAGAAAAAATAAATAAATAAATAAATAAAAAGACCACATCATGGGGGCCTGGCCCTAGCTCAGTTCTTTAAGTGGCTGCTTCCCCAAAGCTGTCAGCCTCAGGTGACTGTAGTTTGATCCCCACAACTCCAGCCAGCCAAACCTGCCCTGAAGGCATTCGGAGCAAAAAATAAATAAATAAATAAAATAAAAAGACCACAACTTTTTTAGCCATTCCTTGGTTGATGGGCATTTGGGTTGTTTCCAGGATGTAGCTCTGACATGCTGTGCTGCTATCAACACGGGTGCACATATATCGTTGTGGCAGCTGACCTGATTCTGATGATGGGTGTTTGGGGACTGGGATATATGCAGTGTGGTTTGAGTTCTGAGTATCAAACACGGCTTTGTCTTTAATAGAACCAAGGGGGGAAGCTGGCAGTGCTTGGCTCCTGTCACATGTTCAGTGACCAGTATTTGGATAAAGAAGAAAACAGCAAAATCATGGTAAGCTTTGTCTTTTTGTCGAACTAATACGAAGTGAGCTGAGAATGTAGCTGGGTGGTTGGAACACTTGCCTGGTGTACACTAGAACCCTGGGTTTGGCATGTAAAATTAGAAAAATTTAAAAGTAAACCGGGGCTGGGGAGATGGCTCAGTAGAATAAGCGCTTCCCTGGCAAGCACAAGGGTCTGAGTTCAATCCCCGGTTCCGCCAAAAAAAAGTAAATCAGTGTAAATTGTGTAAGTTTGATTTTCATATCATTTCAAGAAGTACGTATGGGGGGCTGGGGATATGGCTCAGTAGAGTAAGTGCTTCCCTGGCGAGCGCAAGGGCCTGAGTTCAATCCCCGGCTCTGAAAAAAAAAAAAGAAGTACCTATTTATGTATTTATTCACTTACAGCTAGCTATTCACAACCCATCATGTGCCAGGCATGAAGATTATAAAGTTGTATCAGGCATTCCCTGCTTTAAAAAAGTTTATGGTACAGGGGGCTGGGGAGATGGCTCAGTGGAATAAGTGCTTCCCTGGCAAATGCAAGGGCCTGAGTTCAATCCCTGGTTCCACAAAAAAAAAAAAAAAAAGTTTATGGTACAGCAAGGGAGGGCAGTAGGTTAATTGGTAAGCTCAGAAGGATGTTTCTGAGCCTGTGGAGTTGAGGTGGGAGCGACCCTGTGAGGTGAGGAGGCTGCACACGTGCCCAGGAGCTGGAACTTTCTGCTGAAAGCCGTGTGGAGCCGTGATAGTGTTTGCAGCAGGCTTAGTCACAGTCGATCCTTTGTCAGTTTTGTGAAAAGTGAAAGGGAGTGGCATCCCAGAGCCAGGCAGAAAAGATGAGCACTGAGTTCCAGTAGTGAAGCGGGGTGGAGCAGAGGGCTGGTGGGAGAACAGTAGTTGGCAGGAACCGTAGTTAGGAAGGGCTGTGGAGAGGACTGGTCACTGATTCATCAGGCGGTCGGCAGCAGAGGGTGAAGTTGTCCTATCCAGTAGTGCAAAAGACACTTGTGTTGTGAAGGGTGACAGCAGGGAAGCAAATGTCTGCACAGCCCATGGCACAGCAGCACGTTGTGGGACGCCCGCGACTCCAGGAGACATGCCCGCAGGGCTTTTCATCAGCGAAGTGCATTCCTTCAGTGTTGTAATTGTTGGACTGAGAAGCTGAGTAAGTCTCACTGCTGTGGAATCCAGATAAAGTCCAAGTGCCTCTGCACGGATTTAGGAGGTCTAGATATTCTGCCTTGAACAGGCTATTCAGACTGTCAGCACCATGAACGGGTTGCTTTGGGATTATGAGCAGGTCTTATGACACTTTGGCTTGTGGTTAGGTTGTTGTCATAGTTCGCCAATAGAAGGCTGCTTTGAATTGCTGGCTTAGTCTTTTTTCCTTTATTATTTTTCTTGTTAAAATTTTTTTTTTATGTGTTTAGTAAAGGATCTACAGGGTCGCACTACCTAGTTTGGACTCATAGTGATTCTCCTATTTTCAGCCTCCCAAGTGCTGGGATTACAGGCACAAGCACCACCAAGCCCAGTCTCAGCATGCCCCGGGGGTGGGGCCAGCATGACATGCCGGGCATCGAGCCTCGGCCGCTGCACTCTGCCTAAGCAGATGCTTTAGTCCGCTAAGCTATCTGGCCAGCCCTTACTTTTCTTGATTGTTTTAATTTTCTAACCATAACCTTCAGCTTTCTCAAATAATCAGGTATCTAATTTTTATTTTTATTTTTTTAAATCTAGGATGTTGTTTTCCAGTGGCTTACAACAGGAGACATCCACCTGAACCAGATTGATGCTGAGGACCCAGAGGTAGGAGGCTGTGAATCATCAGAAAACTTTTAAATGAAAAAATGGACCCAGCGTCCCAGTACTACTCCAGACAGTTGCAACGCAGTTTACCTCTGTCACATCTCTAAGGCCTATGGAGCTGAATGTGGTGATGCAGGGTTGTAACTCCAGCTCTTGGGAAGGTGAGGCTGGAGGATCACTAGTTTGAGGCCAGCCTGGGACACTTAACAAGATCCTGTCTCAAAATAATATTTAAGCATGCCATGCTGGCAGCCCTGCCCCTGGGCACGCTAAGCCTGCCACAGAGACCGGGCGTGGTGTCACATGTCTGTAATTCCAGCTCTGGGGAAGCTGAAAATGAGAGGATCACTATAGAGTCCGAGCTGCATAGTGGGACCCTGTACCAAACACTTTGTGTGTGTGTGTGTGTGTGTGTGTGTGTGTGTGTGTGTGTGTGTGTAACCAGAAATTGAACTCAGACCCTTGCGCTTGCCAGACAAGCGCCTATTCTACTGAGCCATCTTCCCAGCTTCCACATTTTTTAAAAAAGGAAAAAAAAATTTAAAAAGGGCTAAGTCCAAGCATGGTGGTGCACCCATGTAATTCCAGCATGTGGGAGACTAAGCTAGAGGACCTGCCCTGCTGTCGTTCGCTATCCACCACCACATGACACTAGACTGACTCAGAAGCACACCGTCCATTGGAAGCCGGAGGAAGACCTGATGGAAAAGGCACTCTGTATTGTCAGGCTCTGGACGTTAAGTGCTGCATCCAGTAACACTGCGAAGTGAAAAGATCTGAAAATCTGAGTTCGGACCACATGATGCCAATACTCAGCTTCAAATAGTATTTAATAAGAACCTGTAGTGCAATAAAGAGCCGGAATTTACCGAGTAAGTTTAGTCTTCCAGGGAGTCTTGAAAGCCAGTGGTCCTGGTTGCATTTTTCCTTGTGGCTTTTTGGGCCTCTTAGGCCTCCATGGTTCTGCGAACTAGGACTTTGTGGGAGGCTCTGTGCAGAGAAAGAAGGGAATCAGTCTGAAGACCTTTGGGAGTGCTGGCCCATTCCCTGTCTCCTGCTGCTCTCAAGCTACTGTCCTGTTGGAGGGCCAAACTGCATCACCACATATAGTGGGGAAGAGCTTTTTGTTGTTGCTTATAATCTCATCTTGGGTTGTTATTTTCTTTTTTAAAAGTTTGAAGATTAGGAGATTTTTTTTTTTTTTATTTAAAACCCACCTTTTTTTTTCTAAAGATTTTCTTTTTTTTATTATTTATTTATTTATTTATTTTGTGTGTGCGTGTGTGTGTGTGTGTGTGTGTGTGTGTGTGTGTATGGCCAGCTCAGCCCACCAGGGGGCGGGGCTGGCTGGCATGTGGTGCTGGGGGATTGAACCGCACTCCCTGTACTTTGCTAAACTTAGCTTGTTCTAAGTAGGTGCTTTAGACCACTGAGCCATCTCACCAGCCCCTAGGAGGGGTTTTTTATTTGTTTAGTTTCTGCTTTTGGTACTAGGGGTTCAACCTAATACTTTCATACTGAGTTATATCCCTGGCCTTTTAAAATTTTTTTCTTTTTTTTTTTTTTTTTTTTTTTTTTTGAGATAAGGTCTCTATGCAGTACAGACTTTTTTTTTGGTGGTACCCGGGATTGAACTCAGGAACCTGCACTTGCCAGGCAGGCACTTATTCTACTGAGCCATCTCCTCATCCCCTACAGGACTGTTCTTGAACTCATTATGTAGCTGAGGTTGGCCTCAAACTCATGGTGATCCTCCTACCTGAGCTTCCTGAATGCTGGCATTACAGATGTGTGCCACCATGCCTAGTTTTGAGACAAGATCTTCTTAAGCTTTATTTTTATTTTATTTGTGTTTTAGGGAAGGGTCTACAGTGTGTTCAGGGTCTCACTACTAGATCGGACTTGTACTGATTTGCCTGTTTACAGCCTCCCAAGAGCTGGGGTTATAGGTCTGCCACCACACCCAGTCTCAATTGCAGTCTCAGTGCACCCCTGGGACAGGGCTGGCAGGACAGGCCTGGGGATTGAATCCCTAACCCCACGTTTTAATCAGCTGAGCTGTTTGGCTTGTCCTCTTCCTAAGTTTTTAAGAGATCCTTTCTTACCTTTTCGCTAGCTACACCAGCATCTTCAAGATCTTATACTCTGTCTTCACATTCA